CTAATAGGTTCGGATCAACAACTCCCAGGGACCAACAATCACCATTAATGCTTAAATCTTAACTTAAATCTCTATAAATGTAGGAGGGAAAGGAAGAAGAAGATATAACAAACTTACCTTAGGTACTTTGAACTATCCTCAATGTGATCCAACAATGTGCCCCAACAAAGCTTTGGTCGAGCCCTTCATTTTCTTCCTCTCCGCTCTTCCATTTTCACATACAGAGATGCATCTGATTTATTAGATTTTTGATCATGTACTGCAGCGTACAATGCCCTTTACCACAATGCATGGCATAGAAAGACCCATTGCATTTAAATTTGCCCTTGTGCACTACAACGGATTAACCACACACCGCAGCATGTGGCATAGAGGGCATTTTTTCACTTTTTCTTTCTCTTTCCTTGCCCGGGTGGCCCGCCATCAATCTAGACCTACTTCTAAGCTAAAATTACAATAAATTACATCAATTAGGCCCATTTGACTACACACCTCATTAACTCAATAATTATACTTATTAGGTTGACTAATCACTATTAAACTTTCTCGAATGTTATAGTACTCACTATTATCTTTTAATATTTTACAAGCTCTAACTTAGCTGCAAAAAGAGAAATAGTTTTGAAGGCTTGGGAATTTTTATTATTTATATTGTATAGCTCTCCAATCTTATTTTATTTTGTTAATTGATAAAATATTATCAATTAGAGAATGCATTTTGAGTACACTTGTATTATAAGGATAGTTATAATTGATTGTTGTATTTTGGACCCTAAAAGGTGTGTATGTAAATTTGATTATTTTTCGTATGACTAAAATACTAGTACAAGTATAAATATGTTATATATATTACTTATTTACAAGAATATTGATTTAATATAGATAAGTGAGCTCCCTCGTTGTTTTGATATTGAGGGGTTGAACTTTAAACATGAGTATTTATTAATGTTTTGCATATGTAGTGCATTACATAGGTTGTCTTGAATCTATTGAATATCGTAAAGGAGTTAATTATGGCTTTGGCACTTCTATATGGGTTTCGAACACCCTTTTGGGCTGAGAAGAGTGTAAAAAATGGTAAAATTATATTTAGGTGTCTAACTCCTTTGTATGAAATCTTTTAAGAGTAAAGCTCGTGCTATTAGTTAAATTATGTAAAGAACTTTCTATAAACACATAAATCTTCTCAATTGGACATTGGATAAGAAAGTGGGGCGTTTTAGAAGTTCACATCAAAATGTTTCCGTAGTTGTATAATGCGACATGACACATGGCATAGAGAGAGATATGCCACGGCACACAAGGAACAAGCCATGGTGCACCCCTTATTTTCTATAATATTGTCTTGTTTTTAACAAAAAAAATGTAGTTGTTTAAATCATTTTTGGTATTCTATGCTTCTGTATTTATGTTTTACTTTAATATTAATTTACAAAATGATATATGTATTTTTTTTTATGTTTGGAAACTTGAGATCCTCTGTGTACAAAACATTGCAAATTTGGAAATTCAATTAGGATAGTTTGATGATTACCTTAGTGTTATCATGTGGATTGGTGTAGAAGACTTTACAATTTCTCAATTAACACATCAAATTTACAAAAATTCTAAATTAAATTCTCAATACACATATCTTCTTAATTAAGTCCTTAAACTCACTTAAATACCCTTATTTTCTCAATTAATTTAATTAATATTTAAATTAAATTTTGGGATGTTAAATGAACACTTAAATCACTCAAATTGAATGTATGTTACCCATGGTATAAGGCATAGAGAGGAAAATCTTGTCTTTGTACCATGCATTGTGGCGCATATACATATATCGCGACACAAGGCATGTATATCGCGACACAAGGCATGCTCATGATAGAATTGTCCTTATTATTTTTTTAAATTTCTAAAATGGTCCCTTTGACCTTTTTTACCCATTTTTAAGTTGTTTTTGGACAAATTAACCTTATTGAAACAATGCATCACTCTTAAATACCTCTTTTATCATTTTGATATTCAATTATTGAGTTTTCATAAGATCCCATCAGGTACAAATTAATTAACTTATTGTACCATTTATTTTTTCTTACCTATGTTGATTACTCTTTGAGTCTTATTTATAAGTTTTTTTTATCAATCTCATCAATACTAATACAACAAAAGTATAAGGAATAAAATTAAGTGAAATTTCAAACATAATCCTCAAGTAAAAAGTAAACGAACTATATAATAATATTCTCTCTCTCTCTCTCTCTCGCTTTTCAAGGGTAGTTTAGAAATTTTAATTTAAAATAAAACAATCTCATCAATTAGTGACTTATAAAGTGAAATAGGTTGTGCTTCTAGAAAGCTCCTAATATATAAGATCAGAGGGAGTATTTTCTAAATTACCATGACAAGTTTATTTTATAAATTTAGTCTTTTTTACCATGCTAAATCATTTTTCTACTGTAGTAGTCCAAGTTGAGAAATATTTTATATAAAAAAATACTCTTTCTTCCGTGGTATATGTTTATGAGATGATTTTAATTCTTAATTATCATGATAATTTCTTTTCTAGCATGGTAGGACTTTACAATGATATTTAAAGTTTTTTCTACCATGGGAAACCTTTATTTACTATGGTAATGTTTTGAAAAGTTAATTATGAGATAAATAATTTGATAGAAATTAGCATGATTTTTGAGTATTACATGTGGGACTTACATTTGATATTTTATTATAAAAAATATAAAAAAGGTAGGACCCATAAACTAAAACAAACAAAAATCAGGGGAGTTAACTTGAGGGGCATTGAGATGACAAACTTAATATGTTGAAGGACCTAATTGATCTTAAGTTAAGTTTAGAATGCCCGTGACAAATTTAATATATTGACTGACCTAATTAATCTCAAGTTAAGTTTAGAATGCTTAGTAATCTTTTGAGTAAAATTGCAATACAAATATGATTATTAACTCTTAGATTCATAATTATAAAGTGTTGAGACATCTTTAACATATTTTAAAATGTCATTTAGGGCTGTGGCTCACGTTTGGTCAATGAGACGACTGCCTTAAGCATAAAAAATGTTCACTTTTACCTCATATAATTGGTTATTATTTTTCTCGTTAAACATTAATGTTAATTATATATCTTATATATTTAGTTATCATTTTTTATTATTTATAAAATATTATTGACAATACCAGTAATAGTTGTTACTGTTGAAAGACATGTTTCAAAATTAAAATTACTTGAATTTTATCTAAGATAAAAAATGTTATGAAATAGATTAAGTGGATTAGCTATATTATTTATTAAAAATCAAATGTTATAATTACTTGATCATAAAAATTTAATATTTGATTTTGTAGTTCAAAAGGTTAAAAAAGTAATATAAAGATATATAAATAATTATATATCAGGCCTCTTAAATAATTTTGCTTAAGGCTCCAAAACCCTTTCACGCTACCCAGAAGTTATTGTATTGTTTTTTGGGTAAAAAGTTATTACGTTGTTTTATTTAGCATTTAAATTAATTTTTAATTATATCCTTATTTAAAATAGAGAGAAAAATAATAGGTCATTTAGTTACTTGTCCAGTGTTTTCTCAAGTAAGGATAAAATAAAAATATCATTCTACATTACAATGTCGCAAGTCAAGTTTTGAATATTTATTGAATGAATGTTTTTGTTAAATGCATGACTGTATTTCTAACATAATTACTTTTACATATAAAAAAATACATGTGAGTAGTTGAAAAAAAAGTTATGGTAACTTTTTATTTAACGCTTTAAAATAAAAAACAATTTTTAAACTTTATTTAATTTGAGGGGAGGAGTGCTTTCCCTCAATTCAGGAGGAAAGTTTTGAAATTTTTTTTTTTTCCTCCACCTAACCAAACAAGGGGAGAAGAGGGACTCCCCTCACCTTGTTTGGATGGGGCAAAGGGTGGGGAGGGGGGCTCTCCTTCCTCCGCCCCCCCAATCAAATAATACCTTAGTTATAAAGGCATTATATAGATTATAAATAAAAAGAAATAGAGTACGTTAGGTTATTATATATTAATTTTAATTATAAAAATTTTATGATGGTGGGGCTTGCAGGTGTAATTATTCATTAGAGATGAATTTGTAAATGCACACAATAATAGTGTCACTCATTTTTAAAATTTTTACAACATGTATTTTCCTATTTATTTATTTTAATGAAGCGATAAACTAAATTAGTAATTTTGTATATCAGTAATCAGCAATTGAAATAAAGTAAAACCAGCTGATGTTAGCATGGGCAGTAAAAACTGCCGTCAAAGTAAAGATATTTTACATTTCTTGTGTCTGACTAATAAAAGAATAAAGTAGAACTCACGCAAAAAAAAAAAAATCGGAAGAAAAAAAAAGAAAGGGAGGGAGTTTTTAATTGGTGAGACTGAAAGCATAACGATGAGTTAGAAGGGAAGAAAGAGATGGTTTTTTTTTTTTTTTTTATGTGGGTTGGGTTTCCGACTTTCCGTTTGAAGAGAAGGTGGAGGAGCGGGGAGTACATGAAAAGGGCGGATCCGACTTCTCTTCACTTTGCTCTCTCTCCATTTTCTTTTCATTTTCTATCTCAAACATTTGATTCATTTTTTAATAGTTGCCGTTTGATATTTTGTAAAATTTGATAATTGAAATGGAAAGTGGAGAAGAAATTGAGATAGAAAAAAAAAAAAAAAGAAGAAGCCAAATCCAAGAAGGGCGGGGAGAGAAGGGTAAAGGGGACCGGGCGGGGAAATGAACAGGAAAGGGGTGGAAGGAGGTGGAGGACACGCGCAGAACGAGGAGAGTGACGTAGCGAGAAAGGGTCATAAATACGAGGTACAGAGTAGGGAGGCCATTGGTCGTTTGAAGAACGAAAGAGGCAAATGTGGCCCTCCTCCCGTACTCTTGGATTCATTGGACATTTCTGGAAAGAGCTTCCTTTTGCTCCTATTATTCCATTTCCTTTTCTGATACCAAACCCCCCCCCCGTCTCTCTCCTCTCCCTGCTCGACGGCTCTCAAACAATTTTTTATTTTTTCCAAATTTCCTTTCCCGAATTACCCTCCTCTTCATCCTTTATTACTTTCCTTATTTCGACCTCCTGTGGGTCCAGACATGGTGAAATTTAGTCATCATCTTTTCTTATTCAAAATAAAACAAAAGAAGGTGAAAGATGGAAATGGCCCAGGACGTGGCTGGAGATGACTTGCGTGAGTCATGATGGGAATGATTAACGATTACAAGGTAGGAAAAGGTAAATTTGAGTTATTATCTATCTTTTTGGAGTGCTTGCGCTGTCTATTTCCATTAGTGGGTAATTTAGAAGGAGAGTGTGTAGACGGCATGCTTTTCGATTTGGTTAACGTGGGAAAGTTGTTTAAGAAAGAGATGGTTCTTGCTTTCCCCGTTTTCCCTCCCCCTTGTAAGTTATACCATGGAGAAAATAGGAAAATAGTAAATAGCAGGAGTGTATTAAATACAAATCAACTTTTTTTTTTGAAGGGTAATGTAATTACAAATCAACATTTTTAAGATTACATGAATGCAGCGAAAGGAAATAAAGGAAACTTCACAGGGGTGAGAGGGAGGCGAGGGTGAATTATGAGGAGTCATTGAAAAGAAAAGAGACGCCAGTGGCTAGAGAGAGAGAGAGAGAGGAGGATGATGGTGTGGAGGAGAAGGTGAGATGCTTTCGGCTTAGCTCGCTGAGACTGGCCTCGTCTATGCTGTATTGGGCAGCTAGTGGGTAAACAAAGATCTTCGAACATCTCCTTCCTTTACTACCTTTTCGCAACACCAACCTCTTTTTAGCTCCCTCTCTTACCCGTCTTAGGTTTAATTTTGCTTCTCTCCATTCTCAATTGTCGAGCATCTCCATTATTTTATTCACTCACGAAGGAGGAGGCTCACGGAAGGCGGAACAAGACACGCAAACTGTTTAATTTTCTATTTCCAAAGAAAAAGTTTTCTTTTTTCCCTTGTTTGATGATGTGAGAGTGGGAATCAGAAATCTGAGCTCCTTGCTCGATTCTCATCGTCAGTGCCTGCGCAGTCTCGTAGCTAGCTCAGAAGCTTAAATCTTTGGTCAAAAAAGAATGTGGGATCTGAATGATTCGCCCGATTGGCGGAGAAAGGACGAGGAATCCGAAGGCTGTTCTTCCTTGAAAACGTCCATGGACGGAGACGAGGACAAAGGGAAAAGGGTCGGATCTATGTCGAATTCAAGCTCATCTGCGGTGGTAATCGAGGACGGGTCGGAAGAGGAGGACGGCGGGAGGAGCAGAACATTGAAGAAGAAAAGCAGCACGATATTCGGGTTCTGTGTGACCCAGGACGAGTCCATGGATAGTGACCCTCCCGTGACCCGGCAGTTTTTCCCGGTGGAGGAGGAGGCGGAGGCAGTGTCTTCGGGCGGAGGGAGCGCGGCCTTCCCTCGGGCCCACTGGGTGGGCGTGAGATTCTGTCAGCCGGAAGCAGTTGGCGGTGCTGGTGGAGGAGGAAAATCAGTGGAAGTGTCGTCGCAGCCGATGAAGAAGAGTCGGCGAGGACCGAGGTCAAGGAGCTCTCAGTATAGGGGAGTCACCTTTTACAGAAGAACAGGTCGATGGGAGTCACATATATGGTCAGTCCTCTCCGTTCCATGAAACGTAGAACCATAAAAACCATTTCGTTGTTCTTTGTTTTTCATTCATCTGCCATCTTGTCAAATTTTGATTATTTTCGTTTTTATTGCAGGGATTGTGGAAAACAAGTGTATCTGGGTAAGACTAAATATATTCGGTGCCATTTCTATGATCATCTATTTGTTTTTTTTTTTTTGAGTTTCCTTGACTTATTGTTCCGGCGGCTTAAAAAAAATATTACTTGTGATGTTTGGATTGGGGGAGAAATTATGGGGTGTGATAGCTGACGGTGAGATGGTTTTTGTCTGGGTAAATTTGTGCAGGTGGATTTGACACGGCACATGCAGCTGCTCGGTGAGCACTTGCTCTTTCTTCTTTACCAAAGCTCGTAATATTGCTTTTCTATGTCTTGGAGACTATAAGATATAAAATTCGTTCCTTAAAATTCAAGATTGAAATAAGAATATTTGTTGGTTAACTTTTGTGGGCAGTGCATATGATAGAGCGGCCATTAAGTTCCGGGGAGTAGAGGCCGATATCAACTTCAACATTGAAGACTACGAAGAGGACTTGAAGCAGGTAATAATGTGTGTGTGTGTGTGTGTGAGAGAGAGAGAGAGAGAGAGAGAGAGAGATGGATTCATGAACTAGTGCAGATCTCATCTCAATCATCAATACCTTATCTTCTACAGCGTTTTATTTAATTATTTTTGGTCTGGTTGTTGGGGTTGAATGGCATAGATGAGCAATTTAACAAAGGAAGAGTTTGTGCACGTACTTCGTCGACAAAGCACTGGGTTCCCCAGAGGAAGCTCCAAATATAGAGGCGTCACTTTGCACAAGTGTGGAAGATGGGAGGCTCGAATGGGCCAATTTCTTGGCAAAAAGTATATACATATGCTCATCTTCATCTTCTTTTTGTGGCTTTCTCCATGTTCGAATGGGCCAATTTCTTGGCCAAAAAGTATATGCATAGCCCGCTATTCGTGCCAGTGGCATAACGATTAACGTAATTGAATTGATTCACCAGGTACGTTTATCTTGGTTTGTTTGACACGGAGATTGAAGCTGCGAGGTATCTTCTGCCCCAACACCTTGTCGATTTTTATCTTCCGCTGCCTGTCAAACGTTAGGGTTTTGAATTTTTCATTCTTTTTCGGGTAACTCCCATAGGGCATATGACAAAGCAGCTATAAAATGTAACGGCAAAGAGGCCGTCACTAATTTCGATCCCAGCATCTACGAGAACGAGCTTAATTCTGGTAATCGATAATTAGGAAACGAATAACCAAGGTTGATTTATTCATCCAGTATGTTTTATTTTTATCATTCATAGTAAAACACGCTTTCCATCGGCCAGAATCCTCGGGTAGCGCTGCGGATCACAATCTGGATTTAAGTTTGGGCAATTCGAGCTCAAAGCAAGGCAATAGCCTGGCATTGGGGAACGATCATCACCACATGGCATCCGAATTTAGTTGGAGGAACAATGGAGGATTCAGGCCTAAGGTTGGTGTGAAATTCGACCATTTAATTTAACTATAACTGAACCGATCGTGAATTGAATAATCTCTGATATGTTGTAGTTGACACTGCTGGACGGGCACGGCGAGAGTGAAGCGTTGAGGCTGGTGGGTCAAACCCAGCTTCAATCTCCAGCACCCAGAGAAATGCAAAGATACGGTGCCTGCAGGACGTCTAGAGAGCCTCAAATGCTCCACAGTTTTGCTCCATCACATCTTCACCCACCAAGTTTTCAAGTGGGTACCTGATTTTTCTTGCTTGAAAGGTCACTTGCGCATTAAAATTTCCCTGACTGGATTTTTTTAAAAAACAAGTGTGTTGTCCCTCTGGAAATGCAGTTTCCGAGCAGCAGCAACGGAGGGCGTATAGGGAGTGATCTTTCACTGTCAATGAGCGAGCATCATCAGCAATCTGGGCCGCCGCCGCCTCCTCCTCATCAGCCTCATTATATAGCAGCTGCTGCAGCATCATCAGGATTCCCAACGCAGATTAATAGACTTTCCCAAGGATGGCTGCAGAAAAATGGGTTTCACACCCTCACGAGACCCAACTGACCCCCACTTTAGGATCTTGTCTGCCTAGCCATGATAATCCTATTTCTAAATTCTATTAATCTCTATCTTTTTTGTTTTTCTTTTTTTGGGGCTTACCATGCCCACGTTAATCACACACTGGGATTTGAGCGTGTAAAAAATGGTTGCAGTTCTAGAGTTAGATTCTTTCTTCATGTATTTGGCCATGCAGCGGCCCTCAATAGGTTTATAATTTGAGGCGAAACAAAGGGGATAAAAAAAAAGACACTCCAAATTGGGAAACGCCAGCTGGTGTTCTGGTCAAACTAACAAAGCGACGAAATCTTGAACTAGATATTCTCGTTTCTGAGTAAAACTTTCTGATTCGTTGCTTTTCTGCGTTGCTTGGCATTTATGACACCGCATACTATTTTCTTTCTTAAATTGCATTCGCGTAGGCTGCGAAGCTCCATCTGCTGTTATATTTGTGGCCTCAAGCTTAGGAGGAAGTTGCGGGGCGTTGTCAAATTTGACAAAACAAGGGGACACGTTGGCTTGGAGAAACACGGAGATATCAGTTGGGGTAGCTAGCGCAGGCTGAAAAGATCAGGGAAGGAAATATGGAGAGGGAGGTAGGAACTAGGAAATTAAAGTGAGTTATATTTTACTATTTTTCTAAAGTCTCTCGGAAATATCACCGGGGTGGTGATGAGTAGTCTCCATCAACGGTGTCCTTTGAATCAGTTCTCTCTGGACAAAAGCAGTCAGACAAAGCCATTATGACGAGAGAGACCTAACGTTGTTCGCCTAAAGCTTCAAAAGGACGCTCATTCATTGGGTGCGATGGACGCACACAGAAGCACGAGACCATAAAGGCTCTAAATTCTAATAATGCTCATGCTTGCCCCGGCTTATATATAGTACTATAATCAATCACTCTGTAATTAACAAACCGTATTCAGAACTCTCTTTTAATTCTAAAATTTATTGTTCATGTTGCCATACATCGAAATGTTGAAGCATAGTACCGCATGTGATTTTAATTTTAAAAATAAAAAAAAAAAGCATGGGCCCTCGTTCTAAAAGGGACAAGGGGAGTGAGGGTTGATTATTTATGGGATTTTCCTTTATGGAGGAAGAAGAGTAATTGGCTAATCGGGGGATACGCTTGCGAGTTGCGAGCGTGGAGGGGAACAGGGTCTGACCTGGGAACGCATCGGACACAGTATTTAATGAAGTGTTTTATCCAGTTAGATGCATAATCAACACTGGTATGAATATAATAATGATCCGACCCGTTTGGGATAGGTGAAGCGAATAAAATAGCACAAGTGCTTCCATCATCACGAGCGTCACTCTGGATATTTTTAGGAAAGCAGGCATAAACTCGGCCATCCTCATTCCATGAAATTTTGATGCTTTTTCAGATCAGAGTCAGACATTTATGATGCGGGCAACACCCGCGTCTTTTTACCTACCACTATTTCGTTCATCACATGCAGAAGAAAACGGAAAATTACCGGTTCAATCCTTCCTTCTTTACCCATATGAAGATTCTGCTATTATTGTTAATACAACGTGTACTCTCTCTGTTTTTATATATATTTTTTTCCTAAATAAAAGAAATTATTAACATTTTTTAATAAATAAATTATTATATCCTTATTAAATAAAAAAATAAAAAAATAAATATTCTCATTAATTTATTTTAAAAAAGATATTTATTTTTTATTTATAATAATTAAGAATAAAATTAAAATATTATTGTGCTTTTAATTAAATAATTAATTTTTTATTAATCTGTATAATTTAATTAAAAATTTTTTCATATATAAAAATGAAGGAGATATATACTTTTATATAGGGAAATAGGCTATTGGATTTCTGCTTGTGTGCATGAGAGAGAGAGAGAGGGTTGATGATCATGTTTGTGGGGGAAAGCTAGCAGTGAAAGCCAGGACAGGAGAGGTGAGCAAAAAAGTGGTCCAGACAAAAAATGCCACGGGCCTTGAATTTATGTAAAGGAAAGAAAAAAATAAAAGTGACAGAGGATTGTCCTTCAATAGCCCCAAGACCTATAACTCCCCTCTCCTTAGATCTCCTTTCCTTTCTCATCTGCATTGCACTGGCATCTATGTGACACACCTACAACCACCCTCATTCCCTCACATGATCTCTCACTCTGATTTAATTGTTGGATGCTACTATCATATTTATTTTAATTCATTCATATATTTTAATTATTTTAAAAAAATATTAAATTGATAAAGATGAGAATAAGATGAAGATGTAAGTGGGGTGAAAGGTTACAGAGAGAGAGAGAGAGAAGACAGTTAATGGAGTTAAAGGAAAAAGAGGGGCATATATGCAAAAGATTAAGACAAGTGAGGAGAGAAAGTAGTAAATTAAAAGAGAATAATACGAGGGAAATAAAAAAATTAAAAAAAAAAGAGTAGAGCCTGATATAAGTAAGGAAAAGGGGGGTTTCTTTTTTTCTTTTCTTTTTTTTTTCATATTTGGGTTTTCTTCAACGGTTGCAAATTGATTGATATATATAAAAATAAAATAGGCGACCGGGGGCACAGAGGCTGGAGAGGAGGAGAGAGGCAGTGTTTGAAACCGAAGCACATATGATGCCCACTCTCTTGTTACATCGCTTTCACCATTCACTCAGACAAACCACTCCTTTGGTTCTCTCTTTTTTACTTTCCCTTTCTGGAATCCCATTTCCTTCTCCACTCGTTTTTCCCTTGTCCATTCCCTCCCACGCCTAGATGAACCATGCTTCGCCCTTTTACTCTGTTGTATCATAGATCTAGAGAAACCTAGACATTCAATAATATTCTCTTGTATATCTGTGCTCCTATGGATAGATTACTTGAAAAGAAACAGGTGAAGGATGAATAAGGAAATCATCATCGAGGTACGTGGCAAATCTACCATCCAAGCTCCGAGTTTGATTGGAGTTAAGCCTTGTAAAGAATCTGCAACATCACGAACAAGTTGGGTGTGCCTTATCGTCAAGTATTGGGCAAGCTCATTTATTCCTTTAGTCCTACGTGCGTTAAGACGCTGGACCACAAATGTGTGGAGCACCGTCCCTTATATGTGCGCAACACCTAGAAACCTCGAGGTTGGCCCCTGGTCCCCTACCGTGTTAATTTATATTTATACACTTACTATTATTTCCACCGTTTTTGCCTGTCTGCGATTTCGGCGTTGCCGCTGTTGTTTTTTGTTCATTTCTCTAGACACGTTATCAGTTTGTTGATTCCAAGCGCTGGATTTGATTACATGCGTTTCCTTAATTTCTACTTTGTTGATTTTTGCCCTCGTCAGGCTATCAAATCATGCGCCGATCGTGCCATCTCTGTCTGTTTCTGGTGGCATTATTATTTTAAGTTACCTACTAATAATCGGGTAATTATTTTATGTGCATGGAAACAAATTCAGGTTAGACGACGAAGTTTGCGGCATTCAGGAATGCTCAACAAATGGAATTGAAAACTGTCCCTGATAGTTTTTGAGGTTAGAAAAACGTAATTCTAAAGGCAAAGTTCAAACTTTGGACATTACTACGAATTTCCTACTTTCTACAATTCCAAAGAAATCAATAAATAAAATAAAATTATATGTGTGCATTTTAAATCATAGTCCACTTATAATCAAAGACACCCGGATTTGAAGTCCAACACAGCAAAACGTTAAGTCATCACAATATGCAGAAATTTACTGCCTATAAAAAATAACTTAAAGTGAAAAAATTGTGCGAGGGACAGGTTAAAAAGATGTTAGAAATTGTGAGCTCATGAAAAGGAGTAGATGAACCAAGGGGCATGAAGTGATCTATAGAAGAAGATAATGTTGAAGGATGTGGCAATGGATGGGGTTTACGTTGCCATTGCGTGCGTGCTTAACATAAAATAACACGCTCTCCATATACATGTGTGCTTTTATATATATGTTGTTAACTTTCCACTGAATTAAAGTTATAACATTAATTACATTCTAATGCATAATCATGCCTTATATAACCAAAAAGTTGGATCCCCACAGATTTCCTCTAATCTAATTATATGTGAGAAACAAAGTCAACCGCAACTCCTTCATATCATATTCCGAACAGTTTGTCATGGCATCAGTTGGAGCAGCTTTATATATCAGACACACTTTACATATTACATTTACATCAGACAAGTCCACTACCTTGTGTTGTATATATGCTGTGCCCCCCTCCCATCCTTCTACTACCCGTTTTAACTGTATTTTGCCATGGCTTTCCTTTCATTTCTAAAAGAAACGAAGAAGTTACAGTGGCATGATGAGCTCATGTTATCACAAATAAAAGAAGGCACATGTATAATGTAGATACTCATTTGGTGGCGAAGTGTCGGCATACACTAGCGAAACTGTGAAAGATGTTTCAGGGCAAATAGAGGAGAATATTTGTCACGTCAATATAACTCACCAATCGTTGCTCCAAAGGCATGCGTTTGTTGTCATGGACACAGCCAACAAAGATTGTTTGTTTTCCCCGATGATCACCTCTCTCTCTTTCTTTTTTTCAATTTTTTAATGAGCGAACAGTAAACTCCACTATTAATCTGCCAATCCCACAGGTGATGTCACAGAGACAACATGTACAGTTCGAAAAGATATAGTGGATGGCTTTGGGTGAAAGTCTTATAAAAGTGGTTTTTAGACTAGACAATCATCTTTAGCCAGTCGTTTCTCTTAAGGTGGTATCATTACGAAAAGCTACCCAGCAAATTAATCAATTCTTTTGACGTAAGAACCACCTTCTCTCCCTCCAATCAAAGGCATTCAATTTGACCATAATTATAATTTTCTCATGGCATCCACTCTAATGATCAGCGTAAGAATTTAAGGTTTGATCCGAAAAGTTTCGCAGAACACATAGCACTACTATTGTTTAGAGAAATATTAGTGAGAACGACAAGAATTATAAATAAGAAGAGAGAGAAGAGCACAACTCTATCCGTTTCTGGGATAACTTGCATTATATATTAACACAGCACATACGCACACAGTAAGAAAAAGAAAAGAAGAAGCATGCGTGTTGCGTTATTTATGTCAATCGTTTTAAAAATTTTACAAAGTATTGCATCCTCGACTCCTAGATTAAGTTTTCAAACTAAATATGATTGTTAACGAGAAGAATAAATTTGTTCCTCGTTTGCCAAGATTGAAGCTTGCTTTACCTATTTGTTAAGCAAATTCCCTCTTTATTGGCTCAGCACGAGGAAATCAAGTAAAATCTGAAAAACTGACCGAACAAGAAGCAAGCGCTCAACAGAGAAACGTTAATCAATTTACGTGAAGACTTGATATTTCTTTTTTGAGGTAATCTAGTTAAGCAGTCATCCAAAAGAGAGAAGCAAAAAATAAAAAGGCCACATCTCATCACTTTTAATCATCCTATTTCCCAAGTTCTTTTTGTTCAATCCATCCCAATTTTCAGCCTGATATCTGAAAGAAATTTATAAGCAATATGATGAAGATTAAAGTTAAGGTACATGTGGCAGCACCAACACCCAAAGTTTTCCTCACCACATGTGAAAGTCAGTTTGGTGAGGGTACATTTCAGAGTTTTCACTCTCCTTGAACGATGTTAAAGGGTCATACATGACTACGCTGTTATGAATTTGATTACTCGTCGCGTTCCACTTGAGCACGGATTGTTCACGCTAGTGGTTTTACCTGAGATGGAAAAAGGAAAAATGAATGGCCACAGAAAGAAGGAAATTTGAAATGCCTCCTTACCTTGATGGAGGCTCATAAATCAATTTTTGAGGGGATGACACTTCCGAAGCCTTGAATCTTGACAATAAATATGATGGAGGAACAGAGGCCAATTAACAGGAAAAACGCTATTAGTAGCGGTGCTTGTCAAAGACGCTTAATTGCTAAGATAATTGATATTTTCCAGTTGGGTCAGGCAGAGAGGTTTGCGATTTTCTAATGCAAGGAAATGAATGACTTTTCCTCAATTTTCCAACCGACTGTTTTGTCCAAAAACGGGACGGTGTCGAGATTATGAATTGATCCTAATGAGCAGTAAGCACCCGAAAAGAGTAGAGAGAGACCGGCCGAAACCTACTTGGTCCCGAAAAGAAGCAAAATTTGGAATGGCTCGAAATGTTTCAATTGGTTCTTTCTTATTTAGGTGTGTTTGTTGAATTTGATGGGCTTTGGGGGTGCACTGTTTTTTCTTTTATTGGAACAAGTTTGGGTTTCGACGCAAGCTATTCTTCACCTACCTCTTAACTCGAGCATCATTTTATGCGCGACTTGGTGTTGCTTCTATGGAACGCTACTGAGTATTGTGTAATCAGAACTGATATTTGATTCTATGCCTTTTATTGCAAATTTGAAGAATGGAAGAACAGTTTTCTCTGAACATAAATACCCTAGCTAGCTAGGCCTTTAACTCATTTGTTGTAGGCCGCCAACTATGATTGGTATGAATGGAACTCTTTCTTTGCAAATTTAGCCTACGTGTCCAAGCCAGGACCTAACTCTCACATCCTCCTATAGGAGTGAAGCCTATGAAGAAATCCTGTTGTGTGTTTTCTCATTACGCAGGCAAAAAAATGAGACCTTTTCCAGGAGCAAGGTTTCCTTTTCAAAGCCAAGAACGTTTAGTTCAGTTGGCACCTTGGCATCTATATTATGCTTATATCGCGAGTTCAAACCGCGCCTACAAACGTTTCGACGTTTGCCAACTTACAAAAAAAAAAAAAAAGTGCCTTTTTCAAAGCACTTCTCTAACAATTCCGTCCGTTTATTAGATCGGCAAGTCCATTTGAACTTGTTAGCAAAACTCGGAGGTTTATTTACTTCTTTTGATTGGACGTAGGGTTTTTTTCTTTTTTTTTTCCTTTCCTGGAAACACGGTACTTTTCTGATAAACGTTGTCAAAAGATTATGCTTCCCGTCGAAGTTAGGATAAGAATAGTTTATATGCGATTCCGTATCCTTTTTGGTCTTGTGAGTTCCCATTGAGTCAACCTTTTCCTGACAAACAAACACAAGTTCACGTTCAACCGAGACTCTCCTTGACTCTGCATTACAATTTCCAAGTGAGGTAGATATCATGTATTGATATTTTTATCACAAATCAGGGCACCTCAATTTAGAACAGTTTATTACAAATCAAATAATTACTCCACTCTTAAACAAATGTTTAGAGATTGATTTTAAATCAACTTACAGCGCTACCTGGCCTATTCCACATTAAGATATTTATGAATAACTCGAAGTCGCGGATGCCTTGCGATGAACCTTTCAACTTATTACGTAATATCTAAATATCATTTTCCATTTCCATCAACATGAGCTTTCAACTTAGCCGAATTCTTCTTAACTATATATCATGAAGTTTTTTAAAGACCTTTTATAGATTGGATCACTATGCTTAACATCATATTGAATCCAATTTAATATAGAATTCAGAAAACCCTTTCCTCTCCTTACATTTCCCATAAATTGATTAAAGGAAGGAAAGAAAATTACGCTTTCTCCCAAAGGCACCTAAACTTTATTTGGGCAGAAATAGAAAACAAACATGTTTCCCCTGCTTTCAACCCTTTCTGTCTTAATTTCCGCTACTACAAAACCAAACCCGTTTTTGAAAACATAACTACATATCAGAAGAGTCCGGCCGTCTACTAAAACGAGTATAGGCACCACTAAATTTTGGTGGATCTCTGATATAAAGGAGATGAGTAGTGTAGTCCGATATTGTAAGAACCTGCAAGATAAAAGCAAATATCAGCTGTGCCAAAAAACATCATAATTGCCCTCAAAGATCTGATCTTCCTTCGACTGGCATCTTGCCAGCCAATTAATAAAATAGCAACAGAATCATGTAGCGTCACAAAAAGCTACGCTTCATACTAGAAGCGAGGGTAAGAGTCCCTTCTTCCTTTCCCGGTAATGAATAGGGACGGATGAATTGTAATTAGACAGCTCGTGCAAGAAACAATCTAGAAGGAAAATAACAGAAACATACATCAATCAGTGAATAGAAAGGGCCACCAGAGGGTAACATGAGCTAAAGATTACAGCCAAATACTACTGACTTATCAGGGGTTTCTCTCCCTCTGAGGAAGCATAGTTTACAACAAAGATCGCATGAATCAAGTTCATGAAAAGCTAGCGGTGTAGACAATAATACAAAGTATAAAGTCTTACATTTGGAATTCATGTCAAATACATAGAGCACCCATGTCTAGCGTCCCTTCATTATCACATTCACTTATTACATCAGCTCTGGCAGGAACACTTTTCTTTCCTTGCTTCTTTTCTTTCCTACCCTTTCTAGTGTCAGCCGCTTGGTTACTGGTACAACAAAGACATCGTTCAATACAAAAATAATATATTGTACAACTCTTCAAAATTACATTCTAAAAGCCTGTCAAAGCATATTAACCAACATAAAATTCAATAAATAACATGCAAGCTCTTGAAATGATCTATTTGAAAAGCTCCAAGGAAACAAGCATGTAAAATCGAAGAGTACTACAGAACAGTTTAAGATGCATACACAACTAACTTAGCAGCTTGTCCTCCCAAGGCTGTACCACAACAAGATTTGTATTTCTTTTTCGAACCGCATGGGCAGACCTTGTTTCTAGGAATCTTCTGCATTGAAGACAACAAAATGGCAGGGGAAAAAGAACAGTGATGTCAAGATATCAGAATGGAGTGCATGCATAGCGTATTTAATTTAAATATGTAACCCCTTCAGGAAAGTAGAGTAAGACAAAAGAAACCTTGTCATTTCTTTGCAATCTGCTGTTGCCATTGATCTTTGTGGAGCTATTATTGGATTCATCATTGGTGGGGGAATCCCGTATTGTGTATTCTTTGTTCTTATTTTCATCACCAACTGGACATCCTCGGAAGTTATAAGAGAAAAAAGTCAAAAGTTATTTTCCTTTATTAATTTCTCTAGGTAAGGGGGGAAGACGGGGACTTGGATAGTATTAGAGCGGAAATACTGCTCATAATTGTTTGTGCTAGATAGTAATGAATAAACACAGATATAACTCAGATATACCAAATCACAAGTTAATGAGTAAAAAACATAATTTGAGTGGAAACTAATGCCTGTCAAGTCCTCTAAACACAATGGAAAATGCAAACCCAGTACCAGAAGCATCATCCTGACTGGGAGGGGAATCAGACTTTGTAGAGCTCTCTTCTGTTCCGTGTTCTGCTATTAAAAACTCAATTGCAGCACCAACATCTCCGTTTACTTGTTCTAGAATCTGCATCAAGAAGACATAGTTTAAATGCACCTAAAAGTTTCATGCATCGACACTTTCCAAAAAAGTGCTAACTGGCTAGATATCCCCCTGAACTGAAATTTTAGAATTTTAGTCATGCAACCCAAGGAGCAAAAACATGGAAAAAGAGAGTGAGAAAACATGCGCTTCATCACCTGTTCCACTTTTTCAGCATTTTCACATCCACTTCCTGCCATGACCAACTTTATGGACCCTGACTGAAAAGTTTCCCCACAAACTTGCCAGTGAGACTCGCTGGCCATTAATTTTGCTTGATGTGATGTTGCTGAAAGATCAGCATCAGCCTTTCACAAACTAGAATTGATCAGGCAATAGCTAATATAACTGACATTTTCATAGTGTTCGAATTTTTGGGTAATGCAAATTGAAATTTAACTTAGGAGTTGGGAGACAGAATTCTGATAATGACCTTGATCACAATTGGCCTCGCATGCCCATCACCAGGATCATTCTTTAACCGAACACTATTATAATGTTCTCCATCGTGATAAGACCTGGAATAGGATACTTACAACATCAAAGTTCATATGCTAGGTGAGAACAATTTTGAATAGGTTACAATATATAAATAGATTAAAAAAAAAAAAAACTGTTCCTAGACAAGCTGTTGGCATGGACTCTCTGAAACATAGTTACAAGCATAAATAGATCTATATATTGGATATGGGAAAAAATAGACAAATTGTATTCCCCTAAACTGACAAAATGACACAGTTTCCCTGATAGGCTACCATTAGTCACTATCACTAATCAAGCAAATTGAATCGAGAATGTCTGTGACAAAATAAGACTTAAATAATCATAGAATTCAAATTCTTGGCAAAACCATCGGTGAAAATTTTCATCAAGAGACAAGGAATGGGTGTTTGCAGCTTGCTTTCAGTTTTTCTTCTACAAAAGCTCCAATGATATATATCAGCTGCAAGTAGCTTCCTACATCCAGGACTAAATTATCATTCACCATACCTCAGATGCAAGTCATTAGTATTGTGCTACTAATATTTCTTTTAGTGTATATATATAGATTTGAAGAAGGAATATCAAAAGAAAGAAAGGAAGAAAGGAAGGAAGAAAAGAAGAAAAGAAGCAAAGAAATAGGAATTAGTTGAACACCGAAAATAGTTGTCTAAAGTATTTTTCAAGTATAGACTGCAGCACAATCACGTAAGCAAATGCAGCACTTCTTACAGTATAAAAATGTACGTTCAGTAATACTTACAAATGGATCATATGAGCTCCACGGTCATTGAAATTTCTAATGTACCAACGAGGAGACATGTTCTGTATCAAGAAAACCAATGAACATGTGAATTTCCAAGAACTTTATGGGATAACAATATGCAGAATCTACCTAACAATTTAGACGAGTTGATCTCCTTGTGTATGAGTGTCTGCACAAATATTTGTCTTCACAATAATGAACACATGAAAAAATTGCATGGAAAACATGATATAATGCGCAGTCCTCCACTATGGCATTCCAATCCAGTTAAAACATGAATTACCAAACCAATAATCAGCATGCACAATAGTAAAATTGAGATGTGGAATGTCAATCGGAAGCATAAATTATTACTACTACCCACCCGATGAATGCATATATTACTATGTGTTACAAGAGAAGCTGCCTGCAATTCCATATGTCCAGCCCATGTACCGTCATTTTGCATAGATTGGCAGTATTCATCAAATGGGACCTCATCCTCAATAAAGGGCTCAAACATCTCCCGGTTGTCCTGTTAATTACAGCTTCAAAACCAGATTATGACAAGAAGGTTTTAATCAGAAAAGAGAGAGAACTGACATGGGAAAGCAAGCTTTCAAGCTAGAAGTAGAAAAATAAACTAATTCTCAGTAAAGTAAATCTACATAGAAATTAGAATGATGTCTTGTAGCTTGATGTTTTGTGACACACACACTACAATGGCCTTGATCACTTGTTATATTAATGAGCTTGCAGTTTGTAGGAAAACCACAATCCTTCTGTGCTTTAAGCCATCTGCGAAAATTACCTAACAACTGTCTTATATCATATAGCAATTAACATTTATTTTTTATCCCCTTTATTTTTAGTGTCATACCATCTTTCCTTACACTTAATAGGTTACTTTAAACAATCAGGTTATTAGCTAGATGAAGTTTCTTACACACAAGCTTTCATGTTTCTCAATTGATTATCCTTCCACTTGTGTGTGTGAATGTCAACTATATGTTTCAACCAATGGCTTTCATTTATGTTACTTTTACGAGGAATAACATAGCAAAGAAGAGGGACAATTGATCAATGGCATCAAATATGTCAGCTATGAATTTCAAAATTCATGCACATCAAATTTATCAGATAAAAAATATTGAAGGTTGAAACTGGAGTCAACAAAAGTAATCTTCAAAATATTAAAATCCAAAACAGTATGAAAGAATCATAGCTCCCCCACCCCCCCAATCACATTTTCATAAACAACATACCATAATATGTTTTACTACCATGCTCCGATAATTTTGATGCTCCTCCTCATTACCCTCCAATTGATCAGCAAGGGCTCTGCATAAGATAGATCCACAAGATAAGATCAATTGTTCTTCAAACATGGTACTTTACACACATTTTTAGATAACAAGTACAAGAGTGACATACTAATTGAGATAAGAGCAAGGAGGGTGGGGTGTGACTAATAAGGCAGCCAGATCGCCTCTGACAGGGCATTATCTAACTCGGTTTCACAAGATAGACCATGTGAAAGTTGATGTTTTGGGTACAAATGAAAATACCTAGTATGAAATATAGCACAGAAACTTCCTCAAGTATTTTCACATGTCACATGTCATGAATAGTGAGTGAAAATAAATGTGGAGCATAGGGGTTAACCTGAAGAAACAATTACCATCTGCAGTCACTTCAATAATCCGAAGGCCCAACATATCCAACTGAGAGCGTAATTGAGAAATATCAACTTGTTTTCCTTGCTTCTTGGCCTGCCATCCAATAGAAGAGGAGTTTACACATGGACAACATATACAATAACATCACTTATACCTAAAAGCATCACATTTCGATTTAGTTCTGACCACATTGATTGAGAAGGTTCTATTACTCTTTTGTTTTCTATAATTTATTTTGCAGAACAGCTAAGTTGATCATATTAGAATCATTAAATGGCAGTTGTAGCTTTTCTAAAGGCGCAAGCTAATCTCTCACACATAGAAAGTCAGAGATGGCAAATTCAATTTTCCTTCCAGAGACAAATTTCCACTGAGCCAAATATGGGAGAAACAGCAATAGGGAACCAGAATAAGGCCATGGTGAATCCTGACAGGCTGAAGAGGAAAAGTACAGTCTTGGACTCAAGATTCACTTGCACAGCCGTGTGGCCAATGCAGTGCTAGGGAATCAGGCAGCCCATTATTGAGAATATTTAGGAGAATAATTAAGTCGTTATGCCAGTGCCAGTTGTCCTCTTTACCTTTTTGTGTTGAGTGTTATCCATTACTTGTTAAGTACAGTTGGGAGTAAAAGAGGTACCGTGAAGTTTGTTTTTCTGAATCCATGAGCAAGGGTATGGAGTCTTATTGCTTTTGCTCGCAAAAAAGGAAATTTATAAATTTATGTTACTCTCATAATCCATCACGTTATTGATATGGAATGAATCTAGAGAAATAACAAGAACCACTACGTTTTTTTTTTTTTTTGGGCCTGAAAAACAACTATTTCACTTGGTTCCCCCATTTGTGCTTTCTGTAATTTGGTGTTTTAGTGCCTCCTTTCTGATCCAGTTGTGTGTGCAGCTCCTGCTCCTGCCTGTCAGTTATCTCCTACGGAGAATTCTAAGCTCAATAAGGCATAAACAACAGGAACGCTTGGAGATATGCAGACAAAGACATAGTTGCTGCGAGCTCAGCGGCTGCTTGAACATGCTATATTACTCGCTTGATCATTGTTATTTAGTTTTAACCTCCAGTGGATGGTAAATTAACTGCGTCGTAGCATTAATGACCACACATTATAGAATGATGAGTCAAATGCTGGAATACAAAATTCAAATCCCTCAACCACGCATGCTCTCAATTAACAGCTACCTATCGTAAGACATTATGATACTGTGAAGCTCTGAAAATCCCAAGTACAAATGATGGATGGGAAATATCCACATATTAATAACTAGGAAAATTTGAAATCTTAAAGAGTGAATCAAACACAGGAAAACACAAGATTATGAATCTCCATATGTTTATGATGCATGCTTCAAGTCCTGAAGCATGAATCAAGCACCGGAAAACTATAGAGAAGCATACATGTGGATGCGAACTTTTCTTGGATGGCTTCTGCTGCTTTGGTTTAACCATGTCCTCTTCCTCCTCGTGAGAACAAAGAACCAGAGATTTCTTTGGATGACATCCACGGAGGGCGCCGAGCGGAGGCTCCAGCAATGAACATCCACATTCAGTGCAGGTCCCCCTCAATTTAGTGCCTCATGGACTTGGTGACTATCAGTTGCAAGAATACAAGGAGCCCGTGGGCTTCATGAATTGAGATTTTAGGGCATCACCCCTCAACAGGATCCAAAACTAGCATGAGCCCGTAAAAAAGCGGCCGGCTTGAGCGTGAGGGTGTGTTATCAAACACACTGTTTTACTTTATTAAAAAACAAAAAACAAGAACTGTTTGATTTGTGACTTGTAGGGATGGGAATAAGCTCTAACCTAACTTACTTTAAATTTAGTCTAGTTTACTTATTAAATAAATTTATATTAAGTTTAAACTTTTAATCAAATTTATTTAATTAAATAAATTAAGTTTATTTTTTTAAAACCCAACCCACGAGCTCAACAAGTTAGCCTATATATTTATATATTACATAATACATTACAAATATATCAGTTTCATTATTCAATTTTTAATCAATCATTTTTTTAGTTATGTTTTCAATCATATTAAACTTATATTAATCTTAATAGTGCTACTTTATTGTTATATTGCATTATAGTTAGTGAGTCTTTTCAATTATTATATATTATAATTAATAAATCAAGTTATAAATTGTATATTATAATAATTTTAAAATATATTTTAGATATTTAAAATTAAAATACGAGCTTATTTAAAATATTTATTTTTAAGTAGACTTTTAAATAGATTTTTAAGCTAGGCCAAGTTTTAAATAGACCCGAGCCTAAATCTTAAAAAAAACTTTATATGAATTTCAAGCTAGGCTCATGCATTTAATTTATCATATAATTTTAAATTTATTTAGTTAAAACTTAATTAGGCTTAACTTATTTTCACCTCTAATAATCAGAGGAAAGTCCGATATTATATTTAGGCTGGAAGAGAGAAAAAAAAAAAGACGAACAAATCGAATATTTACTTTTCTTGATGGTGAAAAATGATACATCCAAATAAAAGACGAGCGCATGATGGATATTATTTTGAGATTAATAACTCCCCACAATTATCTGTCCTTTTATGAAATCTGGCAACTATTTTTAATTAATCAAGGATATTTGACCAAAATAATGATTAATGAATCTAAGTATCCTTCACCCACAAGAAAACTATTTCGTCGTTCGCGGAGTTACCAACGCATTGATCATTGAATATTTGAATTAAAAAAATATAATTATATGTTACTATACTTTATTTACATTTTATTATTAATTTTTATATTTTTATTTTTTATTATTTTAAATTTTTTAAAATTTCTTATACTTTTCTCACGAAAGGATTTAAAATAATAAAAAATAAAAATAAAGAGATCAAAAATATTAAAAAAAAATATAAGGATCAATAATAAAATACAAACAAAATATAAAAGCTTAAAGTCATGCTTTCCCTTGAATATATATACAAGGGTGATAAGGGGGGACCAACAAGGCCACGGCCCTCCCAAAAATTATTTTTTTTTAATAAAATATAAGAGTTATGTATTTTTAATTTTTATAAATCAACACATTACATAAGTTTTAAGATACTTAATAAAATTCTCATTTCAATCATATAACAGTCTTTTATACATGTATGGTTTAAATATTTTAGTAGTTTGAAGATATAATTATTATAAAATTAATTTTTTTTAATAAGATAATATTACAATTACACTTAAAGCATTGAAGTCATTTAATTTTGATTTTATTTTATATTTGATGAAAAAATTATAAAAATTATCACTAACAAACTTTGCGAAGCATTACAACAAAAATTTTAAAATATATTAAATGATATATGCTTGATATCTACTATAAAATTACTTATCTAAAAATTAAAAAAATATGGTTAAGATATATTTTTTTAGGGAAAAAAAACTTTTTCTTGCAATAATCAAGTTATTGAAATTTATTATATGAATAATTTTTACTATAATATATTTAAATCTTATCAACATTAAAAATTTGTAATAATTGAACATTGTTACCGTGTTGATACAGGATTTTTTAAATTGGACAGAATTTTAAATTTTAATTATATATTTAAATTATTTATTTTTATGTATATATGTAAAATTGAAAATAAACGTATCTGTTAAATTATTTATATTGTATTAGTGATATATATAAATTTAATTTTCTTCAATTATTATTTATATTTTGTTATCTCAGCTTTCTTAATAAAATTATCTGACTCCACCTATATATATATATATATATATATATATATATACAGACAGATCATGCATTGAAGATTGAAGGTATTCAGATACTTCGTAACTTTGGCAGACAGGAACTGCAAATATGTTTCAGGCCTCTAGAAAAACACCCAAAGATGTTGTACAGCCAAAACTAGCAAACCCGGAATGCGACGTGCCTGATCCACACGAGGGGCGCGCTAGGGGTTTGAGAAGCGACAAAATTAATTACATAATTGTGGTCTGTGGACACAGTAATTAATTTATTCTTCAAAAATGAATAAGAACTATTTGCAAGGCTTAAACTGATCGAGGTAACTTTTAAAATTTATTTGCCCATCACCTGAGCGGATAGTGGAGTAAATCTCTTTATAGGTGTTTTATGAGCGTGTGATTCAAATTACATAAATTTGGTTTCCTTCCCAGCGATATGCCGTATATGCAGGGCTGAAACTCGACTTTCAAAGCCATCTTGGTGACTTGAGTGAATCGGGAAGGGCAAGCATGGGAAAGACCAAAAGAGAGACTGGGGAGAGAATAATTGGGAAGATTGGGGCCATCTGCAGAAAAATAAACACGAGCAGGGGCTAAAAGTATATCATTTAACTGAAATGGGCGGTGGGTGGTCACATTATCAGCAATTCAGAATAGTACCACTCAGAGAGAACCCGGTTCCCATATTGAATTTAATTTAATAGCACAGCCATGCTAGAATTTCAAATTTTTGCAAGCCTGTTGGTACTTGAAATTTTAATATTGTAAAACAATATCTCCACCTTGATGTAATTAAGCATATTTCTCTCGTACAACTTTCTAATCAACATGGTGAAGATGATATTATTGTGTGGAGGCCTTATTTTGATAACAACTTCTCTATCGAATTCACTTATAAAGCCATGGGGGCTCATCAGATTCAGGATCACTTAAATATCTGATTTATAATTTGGAAATGGCCTACTTAAAAAAAAATACTTATGTCAAAAAGCTGCTTGGGATCATCTTTAAATCAATTTCACACTTTGTAATGGAATACTACTCAACAATGCACCTACCCCCTTGGTTGTACCTCTCCTAACTTTTCTATTCATGTTTTACGAGATTGTAAGGAACTAAAAAGGTTTGGAAAAAATCAGTCAATCTTTCCAAGCATGATACTTTCTTTTTTCTTTTTGTGCAATATTAGATAATTTAGAACGCTAAAATGAAACAAGCAATCTATCTATGAGAAGATTACTTTGGCAGAAACTTTTTGCCCAAGCCTACTGGAACATATGAAAAGTTAGATACAAAAAGGTCTACTCTGATGACATTATCTTGGACAGTGATATTGCTTTTTCCCACACTCAACAAATTATTAATGACCTAAAGCTTCAATTCAAACCAAATTTTCTCAGTGAATTTAACACCAAACATGCAGCTAGATGGAATCCACCAAATTCGGGATGGGTCAAATTATATGTTGATGATTCTATTAATCTCAATAAGGTTGCTACTTGTGTTGGTCTTATCAAAAATGACAAGGGTAACTAGATTAAAAGTTTTTTAAAAATCTTAGCTACCAATCTAACACAGCAGTTGAATTTATAGGAATATTAAAAGGACTAAACCTTTATTGAAATGTAAAGATTTTCAAAGTTAGTGTCTGCTCATATTTTATGGAGGTTTTATCTCTCATTTAATGAAGCTCCTCTTACGGCCACCCTTTCTTAACTATTATTAGAAACATCATACATCTTACCATATAAGACTGAAAAATTACTTTTGATTATATTTTTAAAGAAGTCAATAAATGTGTCGATCTCATGACTCACAAGACTTCAAGAGAGAATTTTGATATTAGCTTATTTGACAATTAGTCCACTAATTATAAAAGTATTATAATTTTTGACATAACCTGATCTTAGTTATTTAACGCAGTTTTAACGTGGTATTGAATTAAGGGAAGAAATAAGCGTGGATTTTATTTTTCTTCTCCATTTTCTTTTTTATCTCCTATGCAATTTCCATCATGGACCAGCGACTTTATTTGGCCACGAGAAAAAAGGTGAAGGCTAAGAAAAAAGCAAATAATAGTCTAAGGTGCTGACTAAAAACATCGCGCATTCGAAACATATAATCCGTCCCAAGAGAAACTGAGATTTATTGCATAATAATTTATGATTAATTAAAATGAACGAACACCGCTCAACTGCACGGGTCGTTATCAAAATCGTCATTATTGTTAAAGTGAAGGCTAAGAAAATTTAGAGAAGGATGCTAAGAGTAATGCTCAAGCCTAAATAGCTTTCTTTACACTTGGATTTTCTGTTGACATGCCATTCTAGCGAGAACCTGTTGTTTGTTGTTGTTAACTAATCAGTTTTTCTTTCTGCATTCCAAGTTAATGTGACCCCTCCATAAATAATTAGCTAATCAATCACTTTAAGCTTACATGTCTCTTGCTCTATGTCACTCAGCACCCACTCCCTTCACATTTTCCCCCCAAATATCATATGTTCTAGTTGACAAGCACTATATATTTAACTCAAATAATTAACTGTTGAGAATCTCCTTCCCAGCGTTCAAGTGTGGGATCTATAATTTAAAACGATGCATTACCTATCCCCCCCGCCCCAGAAAATGGAAAAAAAAAAAAAAAAACACTCGCAACGGTCAAGTCTATGACGTGGCCAAGGATCCTCAACAATTCTAAGAGGTCAAGAAATAGGCATTTGATGTGCACGAGCGAGTGCAAAGGAAGGGGAGCCTGCCAGTCTATTGAAATTAGCTGACGAATCTTTATAGTTAGCTCCAAGATGCGTACTCCTTGTTGCACGCATGCAGGCATGCTTCATTGGACTTTAAAGCCTTCGTTGGATCATTAAACAGATCTAGCTAGTTGCCTCATGTCTTCTCCCAGCACATGGACAGAACCACACCCAAAAAAAAAAAAAAAAAAAAACACACACACACACACACACAATATCACAATATGCATTTGGTTTTATAACACTTTTCAGACTACTTGTATTTTTATTTAGTTGCCGGAGATCAATATTTAATCCAATAAGACTTCTCTCCAAATTTGCTGTTTATGTTCGGGGCATATCTCTGCATTTATAATTTTATGATTTTCATTGATATTCTCCCCATTTTAAACTTGTTTTCAACCACGTAAAAAGTTGTTTTTAAGAATATTTCCGTTTCAAAAAAAACATCTGAAGAATGAAACTATTTGTCTTTAAAGGAAAAATCCCTCATTAGGTTAGTACCCAAAAAAAAAACACTCATGAGCGTTTTCATTTTATATTACCATGCATGATTCATAAATATTTAAAAATATATTTCTAGTATTAAATTATTTAAAACAATATATATTTAAAATAATAATTTAAAATTTTAATAAAAAATTCATTTCTTCATCCACGTATAAAATAGTTCTTTTTATTATTCTATTGTATTTTCAATGGGTATGAATTTTTTTTTTTTTTAAATAAGTAGGTTGTTAGTCTCTTTTATATCTCGCATCACGCACGGATGGCGCAGCTGAGATGCAGTTGGGCGCGTGAAGGTTCAGAATCGAGACAGGGACCCCCGCTCTTCCGGTCCGTGTGATGGAAGAAAAATCACCGCCAAAACCTAACTGAATGTTGTCAATCTCATCAACGACCACGCGCGTGGTTGCACTCGCGTTTCAGTCAGATTCATACCAAGCGGACACCCTGCTTCCCCCGGTACCAGATCCATTTTCCAGTCGTCGCCTGGAAATCAACATCACACACTCTCTAGAGGCTCAGTGTCTTTTTCGATGAGCTCGTACACTCCACTTTACTTTCCCCATCTCTCTACCCTTTTTTAACATCGCGTACCAAGTACACACCCCACCTCGAAAAGCTCTGGGGATGGTAATTGTGGTGCCCGGTACGCTTCACGTTTCCACTCGATTCATTTACCTGCAACTCTGCTTCCTTAAGAGATCAAGCACCAATCCGTACCTTCTCATTTCGCTTCTGTTTCTTATTTTAAGCATTTTCTTTTTCTCCTTTTTCTTTTGTGAATTTTTCAGGCAGCACGGAGTTGAATCTCTTGGCATTGGAGCCCCTCCTCTTTCTTCCTTGGGTGTTCATGCACAAGCTGGGCCTTCCTCTTCATGGTCAGAGGCGAGAGACCATAACGCCCTGCGTCGAACTATAGTGTCTCTCCGAGAACAACCTGGCCTAGAAATTCTCGTCTGCTTAATAGCTCTCCGTGATTGAGTCTGCTAACACGCCCTTTTTTTGTGACGCTAAGATGATACATTATGTTGTTCTTTATTAGTTGCATGCAAATAATTTGTGGGTTGATAGAAATTTTAACAGTTTGGTATAGTGGGAACGTCTTATACTAGTTATTTTGGTTCAGTTTTATTATCATCTCATCCTGTAGACTATGTTTATTCACTCCCCTTTCTCTGGTTCCTGTGCAGGCTTTCTGTTCATCTGAGGTCTTCCTGGCCGTTATGGATCACAAGACATGGCTTTGGAGGAAAAAGTCCTCGGAGAAGCCCACCATTGCTTGTGACAAAGCACATCTCACCGTGAAAGAAAATGAAGCGGTATTAATTCATTATATCATCAAATATTCTAAGCGATCACGGTGTTTTTCATGCTCTTAGAATGTCATTAAATTTATGAAGTATGATTGACTATAAGCTGCTGTTATCCTATTCTTTTGAAGTCTGTTTGCATCTTTTAGATTGCTATCAATTGGCCCGAAAAATTATCACTTCATTAGTTAAAATTACAAATCAGTTATCTCCTTGTATTATTAATAAGTGTAACTATTCATAGTTTCCCCCTCGGACTGCACCCTTTGCACTGAATTAGATTTAATCATAAAGTCAACTGAATAATTCTGGCCGCACCTAATCACTTGAGACCATGAATTCATTCCAAATGATGTTACAATCATTTTTATAAAATTGTATTCAAATGCTTGTTATTTTATCTTGTTTTACCTTTGCATGTCAGGTAAAGGAGCTTCTAGCTGATAAAGAAGAGTTGGAGACAGACTTGAAAATTCTGAATGACAAGCTTTCTTTGGCTCTTTCTGACTGTAATGCTAAAGATGAACTGGTGAAGAAGCAGACGAAAATTGCACAGGAAGCAGTGGCAGGTAATTTGTCCTTGTCTTTGTGTTTCTCTATCCTTCCCATACCCCTTGTAACTAGGACATGCAAATTTGCCAATTATGCATCAAATTTTTGAGTGTATCTTTTACTAGTTTCTGATAAAAGCTTCACCTGAAGGTTGGGAGAAAGCTGAAGCTGAAGCTTTGTCTCTAAAGCAAGATCTTGAGGAAGCTCTGCAGCAGAAGCTGTTTTATGAAGAAAGAATGACCCATTTGGATGGAGCCCTGAAAGAATGTATGCAACAATTACGTTTTGTACGAGAAGAACAGGAGAAAAGGATTCATGATGTCATGACAAAGGCTTCAAAAGAATTTGAAAAAGCACGTATGGTTTTTGAGAAGCAGCTGACAGAGACCAGTAAAAAGCTTGCAAAAGCTGGGGCTGAAAATGCTCATTTTAGCAAAGCTATTCTTGATGACCAAATTTTGATTGAAGGTTTTAAAAGACAATTGACTCAAGCTGAGGCAGATTATACTGCACTCATGGCAAGATTAGAATCCACCGAGAAAGACAACACCTCGCTGAAATATGAGGTTCGGGTGCTTGAAAAGGAGGTTGAGATTCGAAATGAGGAGAGAGAATTCAATCGTCGAACAGCTGATGCATCTCACAAGCAGCACTTGGAGAGTGCAAAGAAGATTGCCAAGTTAGAGTCAGAATGTCAGAGGCTGCGCCTCCTCGTTCGCAAACGATTACCTGGTCCTGCTGCCCTAGTGAAAATGAAGAATGAAGTTGAAATGTTGGGTAGGGACTCGGTTGAAATGAGGAGAAAAAGGTCAAACTCAATCAGTTTCATTGATGAATCTTCAGTTGACAATTCTCCCGAAACTACCATGAAAAGAATCAATATATTGAACGAGCAGCTATGTTCTCTGGAAGAAGAAAACAAGACTTTACGAGAATCCCTTAATAGGAAAACAAATGAGCTTCAATTTTCAAGAACAATGCTTGCTCGAACAGCTTTCAAACTGTCACAGGTTGAATTACAGGTTGAAGAATCATCCAAAGGTCAAGCAGTCGGGGAGCAGCCTAGTAGTCTCCCACCACATGAATTTTCTTTGGCATCAATGTCTGACATTGGCAGTGATGATAAGGCTAGTTGTGCTGAATCCTGGGCTTCTGCTTTGATTTCAGAACTGGAGCAGTTCAGAAGTGGAAAGCAAAATTATTTCAAGTCAAGCAAAAATATTGGATCTTCAGACATAAAGCTTATGGATGACTTTGTTGAAATGGAAAAATTAGCAGTGGTCTCTGTTGAAAAAGCCCCTGAAATTTCACATACTTCTTCAGAATCAGCTAATGGAATCAATGGTTCTTTAGACACTGGGCCGAATGAGATAACCTCTCCAGTAGTGAGTAAGGAGATCATTCCTGTGTCTGAATCATCCAGCTCCAATGACATGTCAAATGGTAAGATTCCTTTCTGGCTTCAGGATGTACTCAAGGTAATCTCAGAACAAGGCCGCATCACTCATAGAAATCCTGATTCAATACTTGAGGATATCAGAGTGGCTATAAGTCATATGGATTATACAGACCTTGATGAGCCTGATTCAAGCAAAGGCTCAGGACATGTTGATGCGTCAAATTCTCCCCATTCTAGTCACTGCATCCCTTCAAATAATTCCTTGCTGTTAAATCCATCCACTGGGATAACCGATGCTGCTGTGTCATCAGCAAAGCAAAGCAAACAACAACAACCTCAGACAGATATGAGTAAATCTATAGGCAAGATTATTGAGATCATTGAAGGGATCAACAAGCCTGCGGCAGAATATGATAATTCTGATCCCATTTGCAAGAGAGATGGGAATGCCGTTTCACACAAGAATTTAGGAGTGCCAAACGGCTACATGGTGCGTGTTTTCCAGTGGAAAACATCTGAACTAAGTAATATTTTACACCAATTTCTCCAAGTTTGTTATGATTTACTGAATGGTGAGGCGGATCACGAAAAATTTGCCAGAGAACTAACAATAGCTTTGGATTGGATTATCAATCACTGCTTTTCAATTCAGGATGTTTCTAGCATGAAGGATGCCATTAAAAAACAATGCGATTGGGAGGAAACGCAAAGTGAAAGTGAACCAGAGATTGGGATGATGAGTCATCTTGCAGAGGCAGATAAGTTGCTTCTTTCCCAAGAACAGTTGCCATGTTTTCCAACCGTATTTGATGTGGACGGCCATGAGCTCGAGACCAAACAGCTACAATATGATAAAGAAAAAATTGAAAATGCTAACAATAAAGTGATCTTTGCTGAAATGAAAATGGAAACATTTGAAGATGGACTTCAACCAGCTGCTGATATGACTAAATCCTCAAGGAGTCAACATCAGGAGTCAGAGAAAATTACTTCATCAGAATTACAAACCATAAAAAATTCCAATGGAGAACTTCCAGAGCAAACACAAAATCAAGAACTGATAAATTCAAATCTTGATGTCCAACTTGCAGAAGATGAAATAAAAGAGGCTCGTCACAAAGTTTTGTCATTGGAAATGGAATTGGAGAACAAAAACCATTGTTGTGAAGAACTAGAGGGCAGATGTCTTGAACTACAGCTTCTGCTTGAAAGGTATTGATTATCTTAGTATATTTGTTACAGTGCAATATGCTTTCAACACTTGCTCTTACTTGCTTCTTTGAGAACTGACTCATAACATTATTCTTCTCAGCATGAAAAAGGAGTCCCCCAATCATGCTATTGATCAAAAAGAGAAGCCATTGCGAACTGTAAGTGATCTCATCTTATTTTCTGTGTTATTTTATTCAGATCGCTATTTCCTGTTTGACATTTCAGAAAGTGGAAACTAAGGCCATGTAGAAGCATGAACAATTTAGATGCAAAGGCGCATGTCTTTGTTTGGATGAATAACTTGCTTGCTATGCTAAAAAGAGATCTCTCTCTTTTTTTAACACTACGCTAAATAGATCTCTGACTGAAGCATGATGTGCCAGTTACTTCATGAGTTTGCAAATTTCTTTTTAGAAACACTATTTAATGTCATAATTTTGCATCTCTTTTCAGATTTGCAAGCAAAGGATGTGTTCAAAATAAAAATATTTTAAACGTGCGAATTGGAAATTAAGTTTGGCCGGTCAAAATTAAATGGACAGATTTTGCATCAGAACACTAGCTAACAGTCAGGAAAAGCAAAACCCTTTTTATGTGTTACCATGTATGATTGATTGCTATAATGTTACTCATTATTAATCTTAACAGGCACTAATGCAGTAATGCACTAATGCAGTAATGCTGATAGTTCACGTCTTGTATGCATGTCACATAAAATGTTGGAATTGTGCTGAAATATGCTGATCAATCTTGCAGGACTGGGAGATAACAGCGGCTTCGGAAAAGTTGGCTGAGTGCCAAGAAACCATCCTTAACCTTGGGAAGCAACTGAAGGCGCTGTCTGATACGAAAGATGCATCCCTTTTTGACAAGGTCATTGCCACCAACAGTAATGCAATTACCAACACGACCTCCAGCACTGTAAATGTCAGTTCAAGCCCTGTCCCTTCGCAAGACGCAAGGGTGAAACGTCGGTCTTCTCTGCTCGATCAGATGCTGGCTGAAGATTACACTAAAGCCGATATTATGAATCCTGCAAAAGCTGGAGATAGCAATAACATTTCTACGGTGGTTACGGAGCCACTAGAACAAATCCTAGTTCTGAATGGAACAAAAGACCAGGATGACACTGCTGCGCAAAAATCTTTGGCCATTGCCAAGAGACGGGGAGGAGGAAGCTTGTGGAAAAAGCTTTTGTGTAGAAGGAAAATAGGCGCAAACAAGAAAACACCCGGTCCTCTTGCCACTTAATTGTTCTCACATTATAAATTGCAGTATTGTTCATATCAACGAACTTTGCAATAATTTTTATTTGATTAGATAACGTTAAATTCTCTTGAATTTTGTGAAATTATAATCTTTATTTTCAAAGCGTACACACATTTAAAATTTGAATTTATCGTACACTATAGTCTAATTTTAAATTGGGAGAATGACATTTAAAGACCAAAGGATTGAATTGATGTTATTTGATGACAAAAAATTTGGAAATCTGCAATGAGCAAAAAAAATCTTCAAATGATTTGACCTAAATAGTGAATTTATTATCATGACATCCTAGTTTATTGTCTGTTTTTTTTTAAATAAGATTTAGTGTCTTTAGAAATTTATATTTTTTAATAACACTTGCTACGATCTTTCAGGACCTTCTCAACACTTGAGTATCAAACTATTAAAAGCTACAAAACATATTTCTCTTCATAAATAGACTAATCTCACTTGCAAATCAGTTGTTACAAAGTTTTGCAAATCGCGGAATATGAGTATCAAACCATGAAAAATTATAGTATTTTTAACAAGTTAAATTTTTCCTTTTCTTTCATAAACAGACTAATCCCACTTGCATGGAGTTGCAAATTATGGAATTGAGTATTAAACTATTCAAATCCCATTCCCCTTATTAGTATTAATCTCATTTGTTCCTTATTTTAGCATGACCAAATCTTTTGGTCCTCAAATCCATTCCCCTTTTAAAATTTTAATTGGAATGCTATCATTAATGCAAGGGTATTTTTTTTTTTTGGGTAAAGTAAGTGTATATTTTTAAATATATGTTTTTTTACAACTAAAACAGATTTTAAATGGAGGATATTTTGTTAAAAAATTAAAATAGATTAAAATATACTTTTTTAGTCCTAAATAAAATACTTGATTGACTAATTCACAAATGTTGAGGAAACTTGTTAAATTAGTTATTTGTTATTATTGTGAAAAAAACTCTACTTTTCCTAAAATCCCCCGAAGCGAGAGAGGGCATTATATTTGTAAGACAGAAAATTATAAACTAATGAATTAAATGACAAAAATATCTTGAAATTTTATCGCGAGAGATGTTTAGTATTTTAAATTTTTTGTTATTTTGAAACTCTTAAAAAAAGTGCAGTGTTGCTTCACTGTTAATTTTAAATATTAAATATACTTGTTTGATTACCAGACGCATGTGACAAAGTTCAAATTAAGAAATGCATGTATCAATTAATAAATCAAATTGAAATTGCATTACTTCGCGAAGCCTCGATCAGCCACAACGTTACATCTCTTAGCCCAACCCCGAATAAATGCTGAACCACGGACACTGTTGGGCGTGAGTCATATTTTGGCAACAAAAAGAAGTCGAATACAGATTTAAAATTGTCAAGACTGTACAAATCATTTGCATAATTCACTCTAAATTATACTTATACAAAATTTCATGTGAAGAATTGCATATGTCCAAATAGCACGAAGGCACAGCGTCCAGCGGGCAGAAGCAAATCTACCAAAATCGTTAATAGTTATTAATCTCTATAAAGTATAAACCTTGCAATATCATTAAGTCCTGCCTCCTCATAACATTCAGCAATTCGCTCCAAGTAGTCATCCCATGTTCCTTCAATAGAAGCTAAATCCATCAAAAAAGCAGCTTCATCTAATACAACCTGCAAATAATTTGAAAATTACAAAATAAGAACAATTCAGCAGACAGCATTGTCATAACTAGATTTGACAGCATTTATCTATCAGTACCAATATTAGTTAATCATCAACATCATAATATTAGTATAAAATATAAAATCTATAACAACTTAGACTATTTACAAGTGATAAAAGGTACTCCCTTTGCACTACAATATAAGTCATTATTTACTAATTCATGGCTCATGAAAAATGTTAGTTGAAATCTTGATTTCCCAAAAATGTAAATATTTTTCCATTTATGCCCTTTCAAGAGGTCCTAGTAACATGCTTTTAAATATGGAGCATTTAAAGATAAGAAATAAAAAAAAATCAAATTTACTCAATGCTTTATATTTTGAAACAAGGAATGCTTCTAGAAAGCAACTTATATTATCATTCGGAGGGAGTGTGATTTATTTCTCAAACTCTTCAAAATGCAGGGGAGCCATCTAAATAATAATTAACAATTAAACTAAATATTGTCTGCAGAACATCAGAACCTGTTGAGGTGCCTTCCCCTTTTTAATATCTTCTTGCCTCCCCTCTTCAGTCACCTTCTCTTTAATGTACTCAATTTGTTCATCATCCCACTGTGCAATCTTAGCAACGTCCTGAGCCGAAACATATTACAGCACAAGCCATATCACAAATGGCGAAGAACAAAAAAAGTAAGGAGAAGAAATCAGTCTCAATTACACCAGATATCACAAGACCTGTATACCTCATACTTGCAGCCTAAAGTCCACCATGGTGATTTCAAAGCTCCTCTGGCAGCATCTTTAGCTTCTACATTACGCCCAGCCCTGTCAAGGAAAAGGAAAGCACCAAGAGGGGACCCCTAAGAATATAAAACAGTGTTGGCTTATCAATTCTAGACCACCCATACATTTTAGCTGAAAATATTACTACAAACCTCAACAAGACCTCTGCATTGAAAACGAAAGGTCGAGCAAATCCAGGAAAATGCTCCTTCTTAGTATAAAACTCTCCCGTTATTAAAGCTGAAACCTTTCATAGGAGCACTAACATGATCAACAAGTGAACCAATTGACTGATGCTTTTGGAATTATCACAAGAGAACCTTACATGATCCCCCTCCTCAAAATGTCGCATCACCTTGCGCTCTATGATATCTGGGAACAGACCAACCTAAAAACAAATCAGATTATTGTAATAATTTGTCATGAAAGTAAACAAGTCAGTTTAAGAAATTTCTTTTGTACCTTTTTTAAAAGATAGACATCCAAATTAGAAATTTTAGACACTGCAAAATCACCCTTTTGATAAAGTTTCTTCCCAGTATCAGCTGACACGACAAAAAGCTCATCATTTCTCTCTTGACTGTTTTTTGCATCTTCTTCAACCAATATTCTGTGAATAAATTGGTCCACCTATTTGTGTGTATTTTCATGAGTGTGCGCGTGTAAAATAAACATTTAGCATCAGGCGGCCTTAAAGAATATGTGTAAGAAGAATTGCCCTATTATCAACACCAATATGAATTAGAAACAAAAGAATCATGTTCGCAAATTAAAAACCCAATTATGCTCCACTTACACTCTTTGCTAAAAGTTTTACTCCATGCTTGTCAACATCCACGACTGGCATTTCCATCCTGCAAATATCTAGAATTGTAAAACATCATAAAAACATTAACAGCTTAACCAAAGAAGAAAGGTCAATATAAAGCCTTTTTACCCAGGTGGAGCTGTGGGCCACCGCAGCAGTGCAGTTACAGCACCTACGAGGAAAAGAATTACATAAAATATTGAAACTGAAGATTTCCCTAAGGAGGTATTTGGAACACGAGAACATTATTTTCCCATGTACTTGAAAACATAATTATAACATATTTGAGCAAAAGTAACATGAAAATCTTACAATTTGTGTTGTACGCCTCCTAAATAACAAAATACTGGTTTTTCATGCATCTCGTTTAAAATTTTTGCATACAAGTCATTAAATACTCAGGAAACTACAATGTTCACATACCAAACACAGCCCCAAAGTATAAAAACTGTACAAATGCAATATTAAGCTCATACCTGAGCAACTTTTTGTTAGTGGTATGGCAAGGGGAATTAACCCCTGCCTAGCTCCAGGAAAAACGATAGTTTCACCTGTTATTTAGCAAAGAGTAAGAGAACTAATCTTATAAGTGAACTACAAAAGAAATAATTTAGCCAACATAGCCTATTTGATAGACAATATTCAAAGTCCCATTTTCAGGTACCTGATGAAAGACAGATTCTATAAACTATTTCAGCAGTATTTTTAACCGTACCGTGACAAGTTGATAATAACAACGGACAAAAGTGCGATCCATATAATTGTCAAGTTCTACAGTATTATGACAAGCTCATGGTAGAAGAATATCCTTCAGAAGCTTGCTGAACTAAGAAAAGCAAGATGCAATACTGCAATATTTCCTGGGAAAGACAGAATGTATGGATCGAAAGGGATATTTTGATTGCTTTTTGTTTATAGTGAAGAAAAAAAAAATGATAGAACAAATTCACACGGTTAAATGGTTTTCTGAGTACCCCCGGCGGAACCCTTTAGAAAACACAACAAAATGCTAAGGCAAAGGAAGGCATCGTGGCTAGAGCATACATGACTAGGCTGGTGAGTATAAACAAAAAGAAGCCGCATTTGAACGCAATACTCGGTTACGCTTGTATATTGCGAACAAGACCCAATTTTTTTTTTTTTTTTAAAAGGAGGTTATTTGAGATTTTTGTCACTACTGAAAGGGAAGGCGACCGAGAACTATATCAGAAAACTTCTATTATATTAAAATGAATGCCATTTAAAACGCGCAGCAGAGAAGGCTACGATCAATTAGGCAAGTGGCGCGAAGAGAGAATCAACGGGAGGCAATCAATATCACAAGGATTTTGATAATCCTCCATCAATAATGTTCAGACTTGGACAATGAATGGCCGAGAAATGCCCTACCTTTGGCTTTCAAAACACTTAACAATTGAGACAAATGCTCGGGAGGCTGAGTTGCAGCAATGTCCTTGACGAAAGCTACATGGTCTGCAAATGTTGACAAAGAATTCCGATAAACGACTCTTGCTAGTAAAACAACTTATCAAGTAAGCTAGTTCCGGATATCGAAAAAACCATATCTATGAACCAAATAGACCGTGGTCATTGATAATCTACAATATGTACCGATTATTTCCGTTAAGCAAAACAGCGAGTTCAACGCAAACAAAAATAAGTGAATGCTCGCATTACCAGGAGAAGAGGAAGAGGAATAGCAGCGAACGCAAGCTCTACCGTGGCTAAGAAGAAGTGGCAGAGCGTTGGCGCGTGGACCCCCGTAAACCACTCCGCCGCCGATCCTCATCCTCACTTACACCATGGTTTTGGGTCCGATACATGTTTGAAATACTGATGTGTCTAATCTCTATGCACACCAATGGCTTCATTATCTCTTTTTCATCTTTTTTTAAGGCAACATTATTCTGTCCAAAAATATCTCAGCCACAACTAAATTGGGCCCTTAAAAATGTCTCTGGTTTGACGTTCGAGGCCTAACAAAACCCAACCCATGGCAACATACTATTTTTGGAGTATCAATCTGCATTGCAGCCCATATTCGAGACGTAATTCCATTTTACTCATTTCGGTCCTTCTTTTGTCCGGTTTGAATAGAAAGTTTTGCTTAAAAAAATAAGGAGCTAAGAAAAGTGCAGTCTGATTCAATGGAAGCAGAGACGGCTACAGGGGGGCAAGGAGGAGTTCTTGGCCCCCCATGGATCACACAACCTTTGATAAAAGTTTTATTTTTTCTTTACAAAATAGTTTAAACTATATTTTAGCCCCCAATTTCTTATTTTATTTTCAACGCCCCCCCCCCAAAATATGAAATTCTAGATCCATCCCTGAATGGAAGGGAGAGATTTTAATAGATTGTAATAGGAAAGGAAGGAAGGATTTTTTTTTTTTAATACAGAACTTGAACTTTTAATTTTATCCACACCCAGTCTCATCCTTATCACGTGATCTAGTCTCAGGTAATTGGGGGAAAAAATAAAGAATTATAATACTCCCTCAGGTCTTGAATGTGAAAACTAGTTGAGGGATATGTTTTAGTCCTAAATATTCTCTCCGTTCAAAAATATAAAATATTTTTAATCGAATCTTACTGTTCAATAAAATAAGTATCTATTTTTCAACTAATCCTATCTTTTTATATTTACCCTTATTAAATACCTTATAATAAATATAAAATCAATATCAATAAGGACATTTTTCTTTAAAAAAAAAAGACAATGATTATACCTCAAAAAGCTAAAAATGCCTTACATTTTTAAACTTTTAATTTTTTAAAAAATGTCTTATATTTTTAAACAGAGGGAGTGTAAAATTTTAATAGCCTTTGTCTTCCATGTTTGTTATTTTTTTCAAATTACTTCTATAGCAAGATTCTTATGTGATATATGAGTTTTGTTGATGAAATTTCAATGTAAATTATTAAAAAGAAGGGTATTTTGGAAAAAAGATAGTTCGCATTTTTTTAAAAAATAATTAACTAACCTAATTTTTAAATGTGTGTAAATTAATTAACTAGTTTCTAGAACAAGGATTTGGGAGTAGTAAGTTATTTGGTTTGGTTGGAAAGGCAAAGATGAGATAATTTTAATGGCAGGATTAAAAGACAAAAGGGAGGGGGGGCCTAGAGAAGATGGAGTGGAGATGGTAGGAGATGATATTGCAGGGTTTTACTTTAGTCATGAGATATAAACTATAGTTTGTAAATATTAGAAGTTTACAAAGTTATTTGGCCGTAGTACATAAAGATTACTCGTCTGCACTTGCGGACTTAGTTTGGGTGCTTATCACCCTTCTGAAATCTCTTAGACAGTTCAGATTTATAGTTTAAATTTTGTATTTATTAAAATTTAAATTTTGCATAAATTGTTTATTATTAATATAAACAACACATATTTAATTTGAATGATTGAATTTAATATCAAAAATTTTTAATTTAGCATTATATTTTTTTAATAAATTTTTACTTTGTTAAATACAATATTAAGAATAAAAATAATCTCCGAATTGGCACTTTTAAAAAAATGCAAGCTAAACATTTTAAATTTAAATTGTTTAGAGTTAATCTGCATGATCAATTTATAAAAAATTTAATATTAAATTTAGATAATCTAAATTAAATCTGAAGTGTATATATTAATGTAATATATGGAATTTTCAGCCAATAAAAAATTAATAATGGAATGTCAGCAAGGGAAGAAAACTTTGGACTGGCGTTGCTTGCTATCAAGTAACCACTATGAAGTCAAGAAGTCAACGAGAACTTGTCAAAATTATATTATTATTTTCAGTCCTAACCGTGGCAATAACGATAAGATGGGAGGAAAGATGGTCGAAAGTCGTGTGGCTAAGATCTTCTCAGGCTTGGGAATTGCCGTGTTTGACCAAATGAAATCGTCCAGTTTTTAATTTAAAAAATAATAATTTTTAATTCATGCATTTTGTTTGTGTTTTACAATAAATTTTTATACTTTTTTTATATTTTAAATCTCTATATTTTTATTTTTAGATGTTCTAGATCATGACCAGGATGATCAAAGTATAAGGATCTTAAATGAACGTAAAATATCAAAAATAAAAGTGTAGGAATTCAAAACACTAAAAAAAAAAAATATAGAGACCTATAACAAAACACAAACAAAGTGCAAAGATTAAAAGTTATGTTTTTTCTTTTTTTATCATCCAATATTTTAATACTAGTTTTATAAAATATTAATATTAAAATTCATCTCCTACCAAAAATATGTGTGTGTGTGTTAAAATTCATCAGCTCAATTCAGACGAGAAGACTTAGGGCAAGGAAGTGAATAGAATCCTCTTTGGCGTTCCCCTGCCATAGAAGATTGCTGAGGCCATTGTTATGAAATGTTCAAATTTCTTTTGGGGAAGAAATGAAGCAGGGGATTCCATAATGTACTTGCTTGAGATTTATTAGAAGAGTGTCGTCATAGTACACATACCTATTTCTTCGGAAAGGCGAAGCAATTCCACAGTGATATACCATCCGCCTTCGTCCAGACTCCGTTATCTGCCCTCTCTTGACCTCTCCGCTCCGAATCAATCGAGAGTGACCTAAACTCGTCGGCCTTTACTGTTGCAATCACCGTTTTCTCCTCCTCCTTGCCAATATGCTCTGACCCGACTCGTTAAACACAGCAAAAAAAACTGCCTCGGTGATGAACTATCGTAATGAACAAAATTCAATATTGTTTGAAAAAGTGGCTTGATCAGTGTGGGTTGGAGCAATGCTACGTGAGTTGACATTAATTAGCATATCACACAGTGCGGATAAGTGTATATTGAACGCTGAAACAAGAGCACCCATGTAATACAAGAGGCGTGTGTACGTAGGTGGAGGTGATTAGTGAGGGTTAGTTTCTTGGTTCATTAAAGCCTCAGGGGCCCACTTGTTATTCCAAATGCTCAAGTATTCTTATGTTATAGTTTTGGCAAATTTCTATGTATGTTTGCTATTCTTGTTAGGTAGCAATGCATTGTCAGATTTTAATAATTTGTTGCTCTATTAAATTGTAGTTATGAGATATTATTTGTGGAGTACTAGTACTGTCAAGATGTTCATTTGTTTTATGGAGTTGGCATGGCATTCATAAGTTTGTTGAAATATGGATTCATAGGTTTATTCACAAATTGATATGAAGTTTTATCCTACTGCAGAATATATGATGATGATGATGCAATTCAAGCTTCTCTTCAGTCAATGCTTCTGGCCTTGGTGCTCTTTAATTTTTTTTTCATACTTTCAAATTTTTTCCTAAATGATTTTTTTAATTGTACATATCTATGTAATGGATAATTTTGAATTCCATTAAGAGAAGTAGAGAGAGGCAATAATATTTATAGAAGTTATTGATTAAGATCTCTTTAGTTAACAATATTTCTAAAAATTTAATAAATAATATAGTATAATAATATTGTGCAATCCATATAACTGACTTCATCTAGTGGAATAAGGTTTGTTATTTTTTTTTTAAAATCCAAGAGTAAATGCACATGAAAAACAATTAGATTGTCTCATTGCTTGTGATGTGATCTCCCCTCTTCTTCCCCTCTCATTAAAAATCTATACTTTATCAGCACATGGTAAATCATTAATTTATTGAGTTATGATTTATAATGAAAATTTGTATTAATGAAACTCATTTGTATTTATGAGACTTATTTAAATTTGTATTACTATCATAATCATCTTCATCTTCATCATCATTCATCACCGCTTTATTTGGTAAACACGTCTAATTCACTTAAGCATGTTGGGATTTAGTTTGTATTTCACACTTGGATTAGAAATTTAATATGTATAGTGGAAATTAAAATCTCCTACATTAGTTGATTTTAAATGTGATCTTCCTGAGATTTTAAATGTGATCTTCATCATCATTGAGCCTTGACTGCTCCTACGTACACAAAGTCCCCGACAAAAACAAAAACAGGTACTGTGCATTAGCTCGTAGTCCAATCTTCAAAGAGACACAACAATCAATACAAACCAAAATTAAGTATCCGTAATTGAACAGAATAACCCATAAGACTTATACATTAAAATACAAGTAGGAATTGCTTAAATCCAAGTATAAGAGACCAACGCAAGTGGCAAGATCCTCATAAGTCATAAGACACTGGAAAGAACTCTCGGTCTATACTCCTCACCACTGCTATGTGAATAAGCACTAGTTTTACATGTCACGTCGTAATATTGCTTTTTTTCATTTAATCTTATTATATTATAGTATATTACATTTATAGAGGATCTAGCTCAAAGGTAAATTTTTTGTTTGTTCTTCACATTTTTCTCTCATCATACTTCTTGACATTATCATGGTTTGTAATTAGTTTTGAATTTTTTTTACTAGATGTGGATTAGGAAATTTGAGGTTCATTATTATTTTGTTTGCTTATCTATAATTCTATATAAGCATGATATATACAAATGTGTGATCCTTATTATCTATTTTGTATAATCTTACTTTACTAATATTCTTTTATGATCTTGGATTTACATGTGATTATGGTCATCTCATCATATCATAATTTATTTACTTTCAGAATGAGAACACAAATTCTTGGAAGGCATGAACACTAATTTAACCGAAGATCATGCTAGCTCATCAAAGTCTTAGAATACAAAATTCTTGAAAGGCATCTCCTAGTTCAACATGTTGTCATTCAAGGTAACCTTAAGATATAGTGTGTAACCCTTTGCTAGTTGTTTATAATAGTACCACGATTGAAGCTGTAGGTCACTATGCCTTCGATTATTACTTTCAACAGTACTGGGTTTGGACTTTCATTTCCTTCTATTGTCAAGATGCTTATCTGGTATTTTACAC